TTAAAGATCGTTTAGTTTGTTCTTAAAGATCGCATTAGTTTGTTGTTAAAGATCGTCTAGTTTTTGTTAATGATCGCTTTATTTGTTCTTAAAGATCGTTTAGTTTGTTCATAAAGATCGCTTAGTTTGTTGTAAAGTGGCTTAGCTTTTTCATAAAGATCGCTTAGTTTGTTCTTAAAGATCTTTCAGTTTGTTTTTAAAGAACATTTAGTCTTCTGTTAAAGATCGCTTAGTTTATTTTTATAAATCATTAAAGATCATTTGTTTTGTTCTTAAAGATCATTTAGTTCGGTCTTAAAAATCGTTTAGTTTGTTATTAAAGATCGTTTAGTTTTTTATTAAAGATCGTTTAGTTTGTTATTAAAAATCGTATAGTTTGTTCTTTGAGATCGTTTAGTTTGTTATTAAAGATCGCTTAGATAGTTCTTAAAGATCGCTTAGTTTTTTTAAAAGATCATTTAGTTTGTTCATAAATGTCGTTTATTTTGTAGCTAAATATCATTTAGTTTGTTCTCAAAGATCGCTTAATTTGTTCTTAAATGTCGCTTAGTTTGTTGTAAAATATCGCTGTCGCTTAGTATTAAATGACCGAAAACCTGAGTAACTTTCGGCCGGGTGGCCGAAAGTCTAAGTCAATTTCGGCCGAAACCGAAGAAAAACCGAAAGTTAACTTTTCTCTTTCGGCCGAAACCGAAATTAAGCCGAAAGTTAACTTTCCAGTTTCGGCCGAAACCGAAACTTGGCCGAAAGTGATAAAATGGCCACTTTCGGCGCCGAAACCGAAGCCGAAGCCGAAATTCGGTCGGCCTCTACTATACATGCATTGAAATAACAAAACGTGTGAACTCCTTCAAGCACATTATGTTCCGTGTTTGGTATTGCAATGTTTTATGTTTTGTTTGTTTCTTTTGTTTGTTTTTTTTTTGTTTGTTTTTTGCAGTGCCGTGTTAAATTGTAAATTTTCTATTAGAATGTAGTCGGACCGTGATTTTCTTGTTTACATCTTATTGCGTGTTAGAGAGAGAGGGAGAGAGAGAGGGAGAGAGAGAGATAGAAAGGGGTTTGGGGGTCGCAAACGCCTTCTAAAATAATCCAGCACTTTTTTTTTGTTTCGTAACATGTAAAATATACTGTAATTTAAAACTCTTCACTTAGCCAAATATCAATCATGCAAGCTGTCATACCCAAATATAGTATTCAGTAAAGTCTCCCCTTGAATGGGAGACGACTAGGTTACAAGTGAAATGCGTTTTTATTACGTCCAATGGTTTAACGGCATTTCTTTCAAATTGAATTCGACATGTCTCTTGTCTACATGTATGATGGTGTGACATTTTTTGATGCGAGTATAAGCGCTGGATGCATCACACGGCTGTCCTTACTAATGAGGACTTAAAACCATGGAGGGTGCTGCAGTTGAAGAATTTGAGCCAAATGCAACGAATTGAATTTGACATGTCTAGTGACATTTTTTGTTGTAATTCTTTGCAGTGCGGGCAGTGACTGGAAGACCCCCGGTGTCCTTAGAGCCGCAGGTCTATTTTACGGATGAAGATATCCTGAACAGTTCCTTGTACAGGCAGCTGATGCTGACATGGGACTATACCCGTGAAATAAACAAGCTGGGTAAGCCATTACATGCAACACAATAGCAATGATGTTATTTTGATAAGGGGTCGTCCATTATTTACGTTATAGGCAATTTTTGACCCTCCCCTGTCAAACAAGTGCAAACATTGGAAGACCCTCCTCTATTTAATTATGTCAACCCCTCTCCCCAAAAAAAGCGAAATATAATATAAATAATTTATTAAGATATTTTACTTTGTGCTGATCTGTTCAAATGAAACAGAATTATATGAAAAACATTTTTATTACCTATTAAGCTTGTTATTCAGCAAGTTAAAAAGTTTTAAAACTTTAACTTTACAACGCAGAATCAATTAAAGGTTGTAAGGACTAAATATCATTGTTTGTGGAAGTATAAATATGATTATTGTCAGCATAGCTGACAATTATAGTAGAGTTTCTAGCTGCTATTATCTTCCCATGGAGTAGCCAGGTGTTGCTATATTGTAACAATGGGCATCAGGTACATCATTTGGGTGGGGCGGGGCATTTGCACCCCCACCCCCTTCTGATTTTGATGGTTTTTTTTAAATTGCACTGTGGCGGTTCCAGTAATAAACAACTTTAACAAGCCGACCAAGTGTTGGTTTTGCATCCCCACTCCATACCCCTGAAAAATACCTGAAATGACGCCCATGATGGGCATAGTCTAAAGTAGCTGATTGATCATTTTCATCTTGCGGAACTGATATTCAGTGATATACCAGACAAGTTAACATCATCCTTATCTAACCAGTCAGCACTTCAAATAGAAGTATTGTCCAAGTGAGCAATAATTGTCATAAGCTCTCTGTCTTGAGTTAATAAAGTTGTTATTGGACACCAATAAGTTTTTTTTAAAAATTGATCACCATGTACAATGATGTGTTAAACTTTTGACGTGTACTAACAAAATGTGCAAACATTCTGACCAACCATCTGCAGTGCACAGACACGCATTAAATAACTCTTATACTATAAGTTATATTGCTAAAACCCCAAAAATATGACTATTTACACTCAATAAATTGTTTCAAAATAATGTAAGAACCAGTCAATTTTTAAGATTAAAATTTTGATAGAAAAAAAACTTGATTAGTGACGTCAACTAATCTACCCTCCCACTTCCCCTTGTCAACAACTGTCAAACATTTCCAACAACCCCACCCCCCCCCCCCTATTTTAATTAATGGATGCCCCCAAAAAACTTGATTAGTGACGTCAACTAATCTACCCTCCCACTTCCCCTTGTCAACAACTGTCAAACATTTCCAACAACCCCCCCCCCCCCCCCCTATTTTAATTAATGGATGCCCCCAACATGATTATACTACGGATTTCAAGAGTTATGGCCCTGTGGCATAATCGTAATTAGAAGCAAATACCTCATAGCTTGGTTAAATAGGTGAAGTGAGGAAAATTTGCAGGAGAGACACCCAGTTTAAAAAAAAATTCAGGGACTTTGAAATGAATTTGGACTTCAAGACCAAAGCTTGTGTGTTATTTAAAAAAAAAAAAAAACTGTCTTACCAATTCAGTTACCAAAAAAACCCAAATAATAACCAGACAGACGTTGAAGACTTTTATCTGGTGTTGAAAATGTAACCTTGACTGCACACATTTAGTGTTATTTTATGAGATGAACAAGTGCCATACGTTTTGTGATGGATACAGCTCCCTGTGCTTTGAATTGTCAGTTTCATTTTCTTGGGAAAGTACCATTTCAAACAATCATTCAAATAAAGTGTTTAAGTTTAACATGTCAAAAGCCATTCAACTAATAATTTCATGTATATAAATTAGTATACATCCATCTCATGACCTATTTAAATTTTGTTTGGCTATATCCTTTACCTACCATTTTTCTTCAGATGGTGCTTTCAAACTATCCAAAAAGTTGGACAGGCTTCTAAATCCAAAAAAGCCTCGCCAAGAGACCATGGCTGAATACATAGCCCGTAAGATCCAAAAAAGACTTAGGCTAAACCTCGTTTCTGGACTTCATGATCATGAGGGTATGCGACGAGGTTAGTATTATTTATTTATGATGTTAAAATTGTGGCCCAATTTGAACCCACCCGGTTTACATGATTTTTGCCAACGTAATTAAATACTGATGATGATAGTAGATGAAAAATGATTTCGCCTAGTCTTATTAATTTAGGTAATGAAAAATGTATATGCCTATTGCTATACTCTCACATGTTCAGACGCATAGTATCAAAATCAGAAAAAAAAGTATGTGCAATTGAGTCATTGTGGAACCTTATTATTTATCCACAGAGCTGTATGGAAAAATTGCAGAGCTGCTGGATCCACTCTTTTCCAATGACGCCTCACAGAATGTGAACTCCCATGATGCAACTGCTTCTGGACGAAACCCAGTGAATGCCAATTTAGGGCCGACAGACAACTCACATCAGGTACATTTCAAAATTTTGATATTATAATGACACAGTTGGTTTGGCTACAAATTAAAGTTCATTTTATGCGATTTGTAAGGTGTTTATTTTACAACATGGAGATAATGATGAAATACAGCACATTATCATTAGTAAGTAGAAACCAGAAATGTAAATATGATAATCTGGAAACCTAGCTCAATTGAAATTATGATAAAGACTCAGGATAAAATGTTTTTCTCTTGCAATAATTTTTAATCCATGATAATGAATGCATGCTTGTCTGACGTCCCAAAATAACAATATAGCAATGACGTTCCACACAGATGTTTGTGTTCCCTGCTTATTTTTTTCTCTTATTTTTTTCTCCTAATCATTTTTTTTTTTGTATTTGAAAAAAAATTATTATAAATTATTTCATAATAAAATTTCTTTGACTTTAAAAAGCCTGAAACATTAACAGAAATACTTAAAAATTACAAGAAAATTATCAAATGTAAATCAAAATTCATTTTCAGTATGCAAGTGCAAGAATTTTTTTTTTTTTAAAAGCTGTAAACATATTGTTTTTAAAACATTTTTCCAAAAGATCTCTCTTTGGAGCATCATTCATTTCAATTACAAGAGAAAGTAAGTTGCTGATTTCATGCATCATGTGAATCTTCCAGATAGCACAAGATTTATTAGACCTGGAGACTTCCTTACCATTGCCAGTGGGTCGAGCAGATCATTCTAGGTTATCAGAGTATCCACGGCTAACACCCCCTGCAGTGATGAATTTTGCCTACCTGCAGAGTAACCCCCCGGTGGACATGGGTGTTGAACCACCTGCGACGGAAGGCCATTCTAGTATCTTGTCACTTGTGCATCTCCTGAAGCGCGATGAGGATTCTGTGCAGCCAGTTCCATCAGCTAAGCAGTCTTTGCCAAGTAAGCCTAAAGCTGACAAAGAATCACCTGCAGGAGCCTACATGCCTTCACGGTTCTGTTCTTTCTGTAAAAACAACGGAGAGACAGTGGAGTTCTACACAACACATACCTTGAAAGATAAAATTGGCAGAATAGTTTGCCCAACCCTGGGACGCTATGTCTGTCCACTATGTCATGCAACAGGCCCCAATGCACACACCTTGAGCTACTGTCCATTGTATCAGGGGACAGAGAGACATCAACATTCCATTCACAAGAGAACCAAAGATGGCTACGCTAGATACAGCCATGGTCTCAAGTAAGTTTCTGTTGTAATCTTACTCGCTGTTGTTGAAAAAATGTATAGTACTTAAAAAATTTTTTTAAAAAGTGCAACAAGAATTTTATATTTGTAATAATTAATTTGTAATTCTCATTACAGATCCATGTGAGGCTTTGTTCCATGATAGAATATACCATCTTGGTGAGTCAGGATATAAATGCTTTTTTCAGTTAACTGTATTATTTCCATCCTTTTTAAACTTTAAATTAAAGTTTTTATACCTGTCATGCCACATTCCATCTTTTCCATCCATTAGATTTTTTTGTACCAACATCTCAAGACTTATTTAAGTATACTATTTAACTTTTTAAATTGAATTTTTTTTTTTTTTAATTAAAGGAGCTGATGTTTTTGCAAGATAAATGTTTTCAAATAATAAAATATAGTAATATTAGTAACTCTGTAATTTTAGGATTTAAAAAAAAAAATAACAACTATTTCCATTATTGTAGGATGATAGGATTTTATTTGGTTACTATTTTTATTGCATAAAATCCAATATGAACCAATATGAAGCAAATCACCGTAATATCAATAATTTAAAAACAAATTAAAATTAAATTTATACTATTTCAAAAATTATTTCATAAAAAATATTTTTAATTTTAAGGAAAAAAAAAAAAAAAAAAAAAAAAAAAAAAAATAAAAAAAAATTAAAATTAAATTTATAATATTTCAAAAATTATTTCATAAAAAATATTTTTAATTTTAAGGAAAAAAAAAAAGAAAAAAAAAAAAAAAACAAAGGTGGGAATGTACTACGTTACTTTCACAATACCTTTTTCCATATTTTTTTATGGATCTTTTTTTTAACATTCTGCAAAATTTTTAACTATGTGTTTTAAAAAAATTGTTTTTGTAATTGGTCAGAGATGTCCAGGTTTATTGAATAGAAAGTCAGAAAAATAAGGGGCCACATAATTGATTCTCATCCCCTTCCCTTAAAAAAATCACAAACAAGACAGTTTATTCCCATGTTAGAGAAATTTGTGATTAAACCCCCTACCCCCCTCAAGCACTCCTTTCCAGATGTGTGATTTTTGCTTACAGGTGGCCCCTAAACCCCTAATTCAAAGTTGACAATTTTAGAAACAAAAAGGAACAACAAAATTTATCACATTACCAGAAACGATTCATAAAATATTAATTATTTCCCCAAAATCATCTGCATTTTAAATTAAGCACTAATTTTAAAAAAAGTAAAGTTTAAAATTTTGTTGAGTTGGATTTAATTAATACATGGTTTTAATTAGCAAGCTTTTTTTAAAAATTTTAAACATCTTTGAGATCCTTACTTTACATTTGAAAAAGTTCAAAGTTACTTTCTTGTCCATAGAGCATGCAAATATTAGGAAGTCAAATAGAGAAATTTTTGTTAGTTTAAGATATGTGCAAATCCCATCTTTTTGTTAGGGGGTTACAGTTAAATGTATTAACATTTTTATGTTACATCCACTTAAAATATCATTTTACTTCAAAAATTAATGAAAAAAAATAAGGTAAATAAATGTAGAAAAATTTGAGTTAGATATCCCTTGATTTTTGTTTTAAATTAATGTTTAAATTAACATTATTATGATAAAATAAGATTACTTTTTACTCACAATGGACTAAATTGATACAAATACAATGTTCTTTTTTATACTTTTACATGTTGATTCTAGTGTAAATGTTGCCAATGCCAGATATAATAACTTACTTAATGCCTATTAAATGCTGGGTTACAATACTATTAGCAATGTCTCTTTCATTAAATGGGAATATTTTCAAATTCACCTCATTTTAAAACTAATTTAATAAGAAATGATGTACTTCGTTGATTTTAAACTTAATAAATGTTATTCTTTAGTTTTGAAGGGAAAAAATATAAAAACCTTAATTCATTAGGGTAAAACACATGATAGGACTGAGATTCCTCAACAAAAAAAATGTGTACTTTGTGTCACAAAGCCTCCTTTACCTTCTGGTTTTGTCAGTTATTTCCAGAATCGTTTCATTCTTTCCCAAATAAATCCCAGGCATTTTTTGTTTTAGACTGCAGTATAAGTAGATCTTGTATTTGGCAACTGAAAATACTATTTTTAATCAGCCTATTAATTTTTGGAGATCATGTCTCTAAGCACTATTTCATTCCTATGTAAAATTGTACCTGCTTCTGTCTCCTATATTCAACTTTCATTGTAAATGGACATTGCCACACCGAAAATGATCAGAAGCAGTTCAAACATATCTTAATGTCTTTAAAAAAAGGCACTTTTTAAATTTCAAAATGGAGATGCAGCTTTTATACTTATATTATTCTCAAAAATTTGTAAGGTTTAAACTATTAATAACTATCATCCTATTTCATGCTGCTGCATAATTCCCGATCTAAATGTGATGGTGTCACATACGCACTATTCTATTAATATAGGCAAATTTTTAAACATGTTTTTCTATTGTTTTCTCTGTGTCTAGTTATGTGATTCTCCCTTACTTCAATTATTATCAAGCCCTCTTTGGCATCCTAAAAATTATTGCCTATTTGGAAAAACTGAAAAGCTATGTCAACATAGCAGGGCTGCTGTTCTCATATTTTACCAATTTGTTCTTTTAACCCTTAGTTGTGGATAATCATTTGTTGTTTTTTGTGTGTGTTATGATTTTTGTGGGTGAGTGTCACTATCAACCTTTCTTAAAAAGAAATAGCTGTGAAGACTATTATTTGTTAAATAAGGTGATCATTGAAAAGATTGTGATGCAATGTACAACAAAAATGCTACAATTCCCAAGCAGAAATTTTAAGACAGATATTTTAAGACAATGCTAGGACAATGCTTTATTTTAAGACAATGCTAGTTTAGTTTTATTTTAAGATAAAGCTAGGTTAGGTTTATTATAAGACAAAGCTCGTTTAGGTTTATTTTGACAATGCCAGATTAGAGATTAGGTTTATTTTAAGAAATTTTAGAACAAACTCAAACTGATTTACCAAAGATAAATAACAAATTCAATATACATAAATATTAGTGAAACACTTTGTGTAAACTTGTTTATTGATAAATCTGTACATAAAGTACCAGTTATAATTAACTATTGTCCTAATAAAAAAGACCATAGTTATTTCAATTAAGACATTTTTTTTTTAAAAATAAGACTCAAGACTCTTTAAATCTTTAAAAATATTACTTTTCTAAAAATAAATAAAAAGAACAATAGAGTGCAGTTTTCAGTCATTTTTAAAACCTTTTAGACTGGGGAATATGAGATTTTTGTGTACATCCAGCACTCCAAAGACATTCACTCATCTCTGTTTTGTCATATATGGCTAAGTCATCCAAAGTGCTAAATGGCAATGGCATTTTTTCAAAAACCAGTAGGCATCAAACCTACTGTTGAAAATTCCTGTCCTAGCACTTTTGGGTCTAATATTTTAATCTAATCTTTGTTTGATATAAATTTTAAAAGGAAATCAGAAATGATTTAAAAAATTGATGTGTTAAGTAAATTGAGTTATAAATTGCTTGTTTTAAAATGTCAAGCCTTTGTATCAAAAGCTAGCCTTTTTTTGGAATTAAAAAAAAAAATCTATAACAAATATTACAAATGAGGATGCGCTAGATATTTTTATATTTTATATTATTCATTTAAAAATGTATTTAAAATTGTTCATTTTATATCTGAACATGTTTTATTTTCAAAAGTTATGTAGTTCTCATTCATTGGCATGATTTTCCTAACTATTTATAATTAAATGCTGTTTCCTCTTTATCAAATGTATTAATTGACTAGATGACAATTCTATGTTTAAGATCTTTAAGAATATTACTGTCATTTTCTGTAACTGGAAACTCTTAATATTGATGTAGACCTATATTTAATTTAGAAGCCCAGTCCACAGGCTGCAGGCCTGAAAAATGCCATGAGCATATACATATTGTGCTCTTACAGACAGTTAACTAAGTTCAAATTATATCAACATCATGCATTAGTAAAGATACAGGAGGCTAAATGAGCAAATTAAATACCAACTCATATAGAAATTTTTATATTCTGATATTTTAGAACACTTTTTTTTAAAAATATTCACTTGAACCTCAACGAATTTTATGCTACCATTCAGTCAATTTGTACTTGTTGGGCACAAATTTTAATTGACAATGTTTTGGATAAAATATTAAGAAGGACCAAATTTGTTATGTCTAAAAAGTGTCTGTTAATAAAAATTTCCACAAAAAACAGTTTGCAATTTGCATTTAAATTTTGTTGTTTGTAACAGTTACTAGTTGCACAATAATGCATAAGTTATATTACCTGCATCCTCAAAATGAAAGTGCCTACGAGGCCCCCAAAAGTTTTTGGGGAAGTTTTTAAATGGTTTTTTAATGAAATTTGTTTACATTTCTGGCCCAGACAAAAAACAATTCAAAATGAAACAAAATGAAGCACTTAGCAATAGGTTTCAATTGTCATGGCTTAACCGCATTTAATAAGCTGTAAAATAGCTGTCAGCACTTTCTAAGCATAAAAATATTCAAGTACAACGTGATGATCTACGTTTTGCTTTGAGACGGTTGTAGTAGACGATTGAGGCACTGACCCAAATGTCAAGAAATGTGGCAAAGAAGTTATTGAAAAACATTGGAATATCTCCAGTAATCACAACAGCTGTCAGCACCCTTGCTGTGGAAATCAAATTTTGTACATGGATGCAAATCAAATAGTCTTATATTTTAGACAAATTTATTAGTGAAAAATGTTTCCAAAATTCCCAAACGTTCTGTAAATAACATTCCAGTTATTTTATGCATATAGCATGTATCTTTATTGAATGTATTTTAATTATCACAAAGTGACCAAACATTCAAAAATTTAAATAAGATACATGTATAAGTGCTGCCAGAGGTGTACTCTTCC